GGAAAATGTTTGGAGTTCTATTTGCACCCCTAATTAGGGGTTTTTACTGAGCTCTTAACTTCTAGAAGTGTCAGGTGTGTGCATGTATGTACCGTAGGACAAGAAATACTCCATGTACATTGTTCCTTGCAAACTAGATAATGGGGTGGGGCAAGGCAGAAATAGAAAAGGAACCTAGCTCAAAATGTGTTCCTTGCTCCTAGCCAGTAAAATGGCACTCAGAAGGGCAACAGAAGAAAAATCTGCCCGATAGCATTAAATGAGGTTATCTCCAAAGCAGTCAATAGCTTGAGGGCATCATGTGTTAGGAAATAACCTCACTAAACACACCATCATGGAAATGTTTGGAGTTCCTATTTGCACCCCCTAATTAGGGGTTTTTACTGAGCTCTTAACTTCTAGAAGTGTCAGGTGTGTGCATGTATGTACCGTAGGACAAGAAATACTTCCATGTACATTGTTCCTTGGCAAACTAGATAATGGGGTGGGGCAAGGCAGAAATAGAAAAGGAACCTAGCTCAAAATGTGTTCCTTGCACTTCCTATACAGTAGAGATACATTTTGGTTAACAAGGTTCTTCAAATCAACTTACACCTTAATCATACCCACATGTCTTCTACATAACTGCTGTGTGAATCCTATGCCCCAGCCTGGAGGTACTCAACCAGTCCTCCCAGTCCATCCCGATGAAATACTTTATTCCCTGTGCCACCTGTGATGGAACTGCGATACTCACCATCACCTACAGATGGGCCACCTGGTCACCCACTTTGTATCATAGTATCAGGGCAGGAAGGAAACCTCAGAACAAAGTATACCCTGGAAAAGTCCCAATATAAGCCCAGTGAAGGTATCTTCTGATTTGCTCGATTTCCAACAAACAGAAATAATTTTGTGTTGACCACTAGTGATAGCCCAATACGGGGAAAAAAGAGATATTCAGAATGGCTAACAGGCAGGCATTAGCTTCCACATGTCCAAAACCTAGCGGCTACTATCCTGGAGTCACTAGTTGGTTGGTTTTGAGCTTCAAAAAAGTTTCTATGAAAATGAAAATCCAGATACAATCTGGCCTAAGAACACGCAGCAGCAAAAACTGGAAGGGAAACTATAGAGAGAGAAGCTTGGAAGAAGCATTTCACAATAACGAGTGTGACCTCTAATGGGAAGCTGTCATGTGCCACTGGCTGTACGTGGAGCTCCTTCTGCCTGGGGGCAGCCAATGGGGTGGATGAGATTAGAGGAAAAAGGGGAAGGATGAGCACACTGCCACCAGGTGTGGTCTAAGCAATCTTTCCCATCAGCTACAACTGCAAGCAAATGGGGAATCTACACAAGTGTCCCATGTAAGAAATGAGCTATGAGACAGGCTCTGTGTGAGCAGAAATCAGCTAGTGGTGGTGATGGGCCAGGAATGCGGGGACCACATCCTCTAGTTCCATCCCAGTTCACAAGAGAAAGTGCCCTGCGCCAGGAGAGTGCAGGTAGATGGGCTTCAAGAGAAGCTTCCATGGTCCCCTTGGGCGGTGACAGGAGATGGCATAAGACTAGGACATGAAGGTGCCCTCCCTCAGTAAGCCACACCCCACCCACAAAGGAGCACAGAGTGAGTTACAGCTAAGCTTGAGGGCTGCAAAAGCTAGGACCAGAGAAATGTCAGAGGTCTGCTGAGAGTTGGAGAGTAGCTGGGATACTCAGTGGAGTAGAACAAAATCCTCCTCTGAATGTTCTAATTCAAGTGGTGAGTACCACAGAGTCAGCATAGCTTCCTAGTGGGGTCTTCAATTATTTTTACATTTGGGGAAACTGAGGCCCAAACTCAGCCCAGATGAGTCTTGGGTTTTAGTTTCCAGGGACAAGACTTAGGCCCTCCTTGGAGAATGCAAAGTGGATCTTCTCTATCAACCCCCAAATTTTTTAAGTGCAAAGTTATTCTTCCCTCTTCTCACTTCTTTGGCCAAATGAACTGGCAATGTGGGGCAGAAGTATGGCAGAGACTTTGCAAAGGAGGCTTCCAATTGGGCTTAGAGATTATTCGAGGTTCTAGTACAGATGCCACACAGTTCTAAATTAAGAGAATTAAGAGAATGTCTTTGCTGGAAGCTGTTCTTAAGTCTAAGTACTTACTGAGCCCCAGCTTTGTGGGACCAAGGCAGCTGAAAGGAACAAAGAATAAGAACAGACTAGAGGGTAGCAGCCCAGGAGGGCAAACCTCAGGGCAATCGCTCGCCTAATCTCCTTATTGCTTACATTCACCTGTAAAGTGGAGGATAGACAAAATGGAGAGGAGAAAAAAATACGTCTAAGGGATACTCAGGAACATGAAGCCCACCCAGGAGGGCAGAAGGTAAGTGATACTTACGTCGTGCTGTTGCTTTCCCCAAAGCGCTGGTAGGAGCCCGGGGAGGAGGGGTTGCTGAGGCCTTCGGAGGGGCTCTCCTCGGGGCTCACGTCGGTGGAGCTGTAGTCATGGTAGTCTTCGTTCCGAAGTCTCTGCGTGGACATGGCAGCTGCGGACGGAGGGCCAGCATTAAAACCCCCTGCAGCTGGGGCCTGCAGCTCCATGTCTGGGGTGGACTCTGGGGCACGAGCAGTCATTGTCACAGTTGCTCGCCGTGACAGCTGCACTGTGGATTTGGTACGAGGGCGCCTGGTACTGAGGGAAATGGAAAAGTGCAAAGTGCACGGAGGCGGGCTGGGATCGCTTGGCTTCTGCCTCCCAACTTTCCCAATTGGTGCCGCACTCATAAATATCTAAATTTGACAGAGTGCACCTGGACAAAGCAGGTGAGGCACTGCTCGGGAGGGGTGAGGGAAAGTGCAGAGAAGTCCTTCCAGAAAGCATTCCCCATTCCTTAGGTCACAATTACTCCTTTCCCTGAGCTTATTTCTCGAAGGTTGTGCAATAGTTAATGTGTAGATACACCCACCTCGCCCAAGAACAGGCTCCCAGAGGGTGAGAATCTGGATATTTCTCCCGTATCTTCTGTTTCCTCTGCCTTCACTAGAGTACCCTGTGGCATTCAAGAAATCTCCTCTCGACCATCCAGTTCTGCTCAAACTCCCCCAGGTCTCAGAGCCACAAATGATGTTCTCCTCTCTGCCATGACCTCAGGCATACTCCATACTCTTTAGAGGCCATGGGTAACTCTCATCTCCTGACCCTGTGACTCTTTCCTTGCCACCAACCTAGATACTGAAAAACAGTAGCTGAAAGCAGCTCAGAGGAAGAGCAGGAGCATGACGGGGGCTCACCCCTGGCCCCTGTCTCAACATCTCCCCTCCACAATCCTTCCTCCTCCTTATTTTTTATGGGTTTGCTCATTTTTACAAGATGGTGAGAGAAGAAAACCTTCCTGCTGTGCGCAGGGTGGCGTCCCTGGGTGGACTTGCTCAGTAATGCTACTAGTCAAAGGAGAAGAACAAGGGCGTCTTTATGACACACAGTAAGGACACATTTGGAGTTGCGTAGTCCCCCAGAACCTAGAGACCGTTGCTAAAAGAGCCTTTGTAGGTCACTCCACACCCCTCATTTTATGGCTGAAGAATCAACCCTAAAAGATGAAGTGACCCGCCCTGCTTGTAGCTAGGTAGTAGCAAAGTAGGAAGCATATCTATCTCCTGATGCCCTGTCTAAATCTGGAAACATCTGCCAAATACAGTGCCAGCTGCTAAGAGGGAGTATCGCAGTACAGTGAAAGAGAGTCAACTGCCTACTTTCCAAGCATCTGCCATCAAGTGAGAAAAGAAGGCACATTAACATTAAAAATTACAAATAAAAGCCCTTCTGACCCTTGGCAGACAGGTGCAGCTGCCTGCCCCTGAGGCTGTCCTCCAGCACGTGGCTGCATGCCCGCCCCAGCCCTCGACTCTGACGTGCTGTCTTGTAAGGGGACGGGACCTCCAACTGCCACTGTAACACTCCATCCTGCCCCAGCACCCAACATGAGCCACCAGAGGACAGCGCTCTGCTGAGGGCTCCCCAGAGGCCCCGTCCCAGTGACTCTTTTGGAAACTGGCCCAACCCTGGCACCAGAGTGATCCATGGGAGATCTCATTCTCTCCCACCAACTGTAATGCAGAAAGGACCCCAAGCAATCTCACAGGGAAAGATCTTGGCAGAAAGCCAGGAAAGGGCCTGGAAATCCCAGGGCGGGTCCTGCCTAGCTTCACTGCCAGAGCCACTCGGCTAAAAACCTGCAAGGGCTTCCTTTACTCCCATGCTGAAGGAAAACAAGGATGTCTTTGAGCTCTGGGGCAATTAAACTCATGAGAGGGCCCAGAAAAAAAAAAAAAAAATATATATATATATATACACATGAAGTATCTTAACAGGAGCAGTTGAAAATCCTCTTGCTATGCCGGCGAAAGCTAATAAGTTAATTTCTATATATGTCAGAAGCCTTGGGTTCTGAGCCTGCCTCTCTCACCAGTTTGCTTAGTAAATTTGAACAATTTTCTTTTATTTGTCTAGAATCTTAGTTTCCAAATGTGCAAAAAAGGGGAGGGAGGTATGGACTAAAATATCTCTCAGCTCCCCTGTAGTGATAATATTCTAGGGATCAATAAACATAATTATTTATGCAAGCAACTGCTAATTTCTAGTCTCTTCCAACATACCAAAGCATCTAAGGAATAGAACCTTCCAAGTGAATCCTGTGAGAAAGAAACCTTTTATCTGAGGAATGCAAGCCCCCTTTAAACGATCAGGCCCAGAGAGGTATTAAAATGTGACAGCAATCATGTCTCACTCCTTCCTTGAGCTAAACAATCACCTCTTGAATCCACTTGCTATGTGGGCTGTAGTCGAACCAACTCTATGTAGCCATAAAATGCCATATGCCACAGAACTCATACCATATAGTTCCACAATGTAGAGCCAATCACTAATCAATGTTTTTTCTGTAAAGCAAGGAGAATTTCAAACAACTTTGTATCAGCCCACTCCTTGTCCCCTTTTGCCTTTAAAAAAATTGCTTATAACAAAAGACAAAGGCAGCATTTCCTGAGACCACCTGGAAGTGTTTTCCCAGGTGCTTTGAGTGTTTTCCTCACTTTGGCTCCAGAAAACTCTTTAAGATTATATGTTGTGCCTCAGCTTCTTCCTTTAGGTCAATATTACTGAAGGTGAAGAAATAAACCACTCTGTTGCTTCACAGGTACAACTATTATACATGCTCAATTTATTTCAAACAATGAAAAGAGGCCTCTTTATGTTGTATATAAAAACTCAAGTTACCCACAGCAGAAGGTCACTAAGAAAATTGTTCAAAAGGAAGCTGAAGGCCAGGGGGCGTGGTGGCTCACACAAGTAATCCTAACACTCTGGGAGGGCGAGGCAGGAGGATGACTTGAAGCCAGGAGTTAGAGACCAGCCTGAACAAGAGGGACACATCACTTCTGCTAAAAATAGAAAAATTAGCAGGGCATGGTGGTGCACACCTGTAGTCCCAGCTACTTGGGAGGCTGAGGCAGGAGGATTGCTTGAGCCCAGGAGTCTGAGGTTGTAGTGAGCTAGGCTGACGCCACTGACTCCAGCCTGGGTAACAGAGTGAGACTCTGGCTCAAAAAAAAAGAGTAAAAGAGTCAAGGGACTTACAGGGACTTAGAAGGGGCTTGATAACACATCATTCCTTACTTCTCCTGGAAATTGCCCCAAGGGAAGAGCTCTGTTCCATGTTAATATAAATTCTGGAAAAATAAGCAGAAATCTATAGATCTAAAGACCAAAAAACAACTGCAGGATATGAGAGACGTGGCATAGCAATTGCAAGCATATTGAAAAAAGAAAAAAAAATGCTACTTAGGAGTTTCAGTTGATGATAAACTCAACAGAAGCCAAAGATATAATAATAGATGCCAAATAAACTAATACAATTCTAGGTTGCATTAGGACAACAGAGGATCACAGGTAGACGACAGCACCACTCAGCTCTGCCGTATCTTATATCTGCTCTAGGCAGTGTACTACAAAGGGAATAATTACAAACTGTGGTGTATTCAGGGGCCAGACTAGGATCAAGGCTGGGATGGAAACCAACTCAACAAAGAATGGTTGAAAGCACAGAGAAGGTTCAACCTAGCAACTTGGGATGTACAAAAACTGCCTTTAAAAGCTGTCATATAGCCCGGGCGAGGTGGCTCAGGCCTGTAATCCTAGCACTCTGGGAGGCTGAGGGGGGTGGATTGCTCGAGGTCAGGAGTTCAAAACCAGCCTGAGCAAGAGTGAGACCCTGTCTCTACTATAAATAGAAAGAAATTCATTGGCCAACTAATAATATATAGAAAAAATTAGCCAGGCATGGTGGCGCATGCCTGTAGTCCCAGCTACTCGGGAGGCTGAGGCAGGAGGATTGCTTGAGCCCAGGAGTTTGAGGTTGCTGTGAGCTAGGCTGACGCCATGGCACTCACTCTTGCCTGGGCAACAAAGCGAGACTCTGTCTCAAAAAATAAATAAATAAATAAAAGCTGTCATATGGATCTGACTTGTTCTTTGAACATCAAAGATCAGGCAGAGTTAGGATCAATAAGTGGAAAGGACAGGAAGGCAGACCATCAGCTAGATATAAGGAAGAACTTTCTATCAAGGACAGTTATCCAGGCTGGGCGTGGTGGCTCACGCCAATAATCCTAGCACTCTGGGAGACCGAGGTGGGAGGATCGCTCAAGGTCAGGAGTTCAAAACCAGCCTGAGCAAGAGCAAGACCAAGACCCCGTCTCTACTAAAAATAGAAAGAAATTAGTTGGCCAACTAAAAATATATAGAAAAAAATCCCTCCAGTTCCGTCTACAGTTCTTTCTGGCAACCAAGGCCACCTCCTTTTGCACTCTCTCTGTCCCAGTGAGTGTGAGCCTGCATGGTCACCCCACCCAGAGGCTCCCTTTGACAAAACCTGATATCCACATCCATTGCTGCAATTGCCACTCCTGCCCTATGGGATATTTTAATAGCACTTGTTAACTGCAAATTGAGGGTTGTAACATGTGAAAGTTAAAGATAAGCTTGTCCTTCAGGCCCTTGAGAACAATGTATGGAGATCTTTGTGTTGTGGTCCATCAAAACCAAGCCAAAATCTCCATAAGATATTAAGACCCAGGCCAGGTTCGGTAGCTCACACCTGTAATCAATCATAGTACTCTGGGAGGCTGAGGCAGGAGGATCGCTTGAGGTCAGGAAGTTCAAGACCAGACTCAGCAAGAGTGAGACCCCCCATCTCTACTAAAAATAGAAGAAATTAGCTGGGCAACTATTAACAGAAACAAAAAAATTAGCCGGGCGTGGTGGTGAGCAGCTATAGTCCCAGCTACTCAGGAGGCTGAGGCAGGAGGATTGCTTGAGCCCAGGAGTTTGAGTTGCTGTGAGCTAGGCTAATGCGATGGCACTCCAGCCCCAGCAACAGAGTGAGACTCTGTCTCAAAAAAAAGAAAAAAAAAAGAAAATTTGTTAAAAGACAATATTTAGACCCAAAAGAGTGAACTACTAAGTGAAAGAGGCAGTTTTGCAAAACTAACAGGAAAATATCTAATCCCACAATTTCCCCAGTAACGGTTCAAGATCAATCCCGAGTTCTCTCACTAACAGGTACCCTGTAGGAGTTCTGTTTTGCACAACTTCTAAAGAAAGCTGAATGGATGAAAAAGAGATGCATTATAAATCTCTCTCAAAATTGTTTTCTGAGAACCTGCTTTTACAGAGTTCCTGAGTAAACAGCAGAAGAATGAGCTACAGCCTCAGCCACATCTCAAGGACAGAGCCACATCTCCTGTGATGGCCCCTTCTCCAAGCCTAGCTCACAGCAACTTGGACAGGCGGGAAACTAACTCTAGGGCTTTCACGTCTTAGCAGTTTTTGATATCTACCAGCTGCCACAGGTAGTTATCAGTTAAAAGTTATCAGTTGATAACTTCTGATATCTACTGATAGCCCTCACTATTTTTGTCTCTCTGTCTTTGTCCCCATAACAGCAGCAAGTCACTGGGCCTCCCTGTGGCATCCACTTGTCTTTCTTTGGGTTACCGGACCATCTCCCCATCTCCCTGCTGCCCCCCCCCAACTCTTGTCTCTCTCTCACTAATTCTGTCTTAAAGGTTAAAATACACTTTTTTTTTTTTTTGAGACAGAGTCTCACTTTGTTGCCTAGGCTAGAGTGAGTGCCATGGCGTCAGCCTAGCTCACAGCAACCTCAAACTCCTGGGCTCGAGCAATCCTTCTGCCTCAGCCTCCCAAGTAGCTGGGACTATAGGCATGCGCCACCATGGCCGGCTAATTTTTTATATACATATCAGTTGGCCAATTAATTTCTTTCTATTTATAGTAGAGACGGGGTCTCGCTCTTGCTCAGGCTGGTTTTGAACTCCTGACCTTGAGCAATCCGCCCGCCTCGGCCTCCCAGAGAGCTAGGATTACAGGCGTGAGCCACCACGCCCGGCCTAAAATACACTTTTAACTTTGATATATCTTAATTTCTGCGTGAGAAACCTTTCTCCACCCATGCCATGAGCACCTTCCAGGCTTTTTTCCACCCTAACACTAAGGAAGAAAAGTTTTATGGCAAAAAAAAAAAAAATTCAAGTTTATATTCAACCAAAATTGCATTCAAATAGCAACTATTTGTATAACCTTGAAATAGTTTCTTCTTTTTCCCTACATAAACTATTATAATAGGTACACTTCAGTTATATCAATAGACAAAGAATTGCTCTTTAACCTACAAAATAGGCCCCGTTTTAGCTTGGCATTAAAAATGAACAGGTGGAATCACTTTGTGCAATGGCTGTAGCATGGCAAATGTGTTTGCAAATTTAACTTTTATTTTAAAAAACCATGTGTTAAATTTTCTAAAGGTGGGAAATTTTTAAGGAGAATTCTGTAATTTTTTTTTTAAATGTAAAGCCAGAATTCTTTTTATAAACTCAAATACTCATGTTTCCATTTTAAAACAGCATAGGATTCAGGAGTATATAAATTGTTTTATTATTTTGGTATAGAATTGAGAGGATTGCATTAGATGATTTCTAGTATACATTTTTACTTCTGAAACTTCAGGATTCCAATTGCAATTTTTTAGTGACTGAGTTTGTTCAAAATAAAGGAGGATTGAGACACAGTAGATGGTACCAGCTGAATAGTAACCACTAACCACAAGTGGCCACTGAGCACTTGAAATACAGTTGGGCAAAACTGAAATGTGTACATGTTGGATTTCAATGAATTAGTACAAAAATTGTGAAATAACTCATGAATTAATCATTTTATATTGATTACATATTGCAATGATAATATCTTAGAT